TGTGGGGTGATGATGATAGGAGGCATGAGAGTTGCAGGAGCTGGTTCAGATGGCTTTGTGCCGGAAAGGGCACTGCCACTACGATCACCGGAGCAACTTGGTGGTGTGGGTTGGACATTGAACTTGTTATTGTTTTCTGTGGTATACAGTAATTGGTTGGTAGTTTTTCAGGAAGGAATTGGAATAGCGTGTTGCATTCTTGCACTTGGTTCTTTCTTACCTTCCGATGTCAATGACATTGTAGTTTTTTAAGTACATTTCCTAGCCGCCAATATTGAAACAATAGTAGATATTTGTTATTATTATTATTATTATTTTGACTAATGTAAGTTTGAAAAATTTTTATATTTCTTTTTAGAACACTACACATTTTGATTTAAAATATAATATAATATATTTATTAAAAGGTTATTATTTTTTAATTTAAAATTAAAAATAAAAAACTTAAAAATATGATTATAGTAATATGATATCAAAACTAATTAAATTAAATTACATTTGTATTATACTATATTTTTTTTATTATACGTGAAAAAAAACAAATTGACTTATGGAGGAGGAAAGCGGCAGGAGTCTACTTTTAAGATTTTTAGCCTTTTAATTTTTTATGTTAATAGATTTATAAGTTTTAACTTGTCACTTTTTATTATGATATTTTTAGTTTTTTATCTATTAAAATTAAAAAAATAATCTTAATTTATATTATTTTGATAATTTTGTTAACTAACTGTTAACTTTATTAGTTGATTGTTAGTTAACAAAAATCTATTTTCAGCTAATAGAGTTAATAGTCAGCTAACAAAGTTAACAGTCAGCTAATATAATAATTCTATTAGTTAATTGTTAACTCTATTAGTTGACTATTAATTGACTGTTAACTGGTAAAAAACTTACTTTTAGCTGGTAAAAACTTACCTTTAACTAATAAAATTAACAGTCAACTAATAGAGTTAATAATCAATTAATAAAACTAACAAAATATTATAAAGTGAAGGACGATTCAGGGCAGCAAATTTCCGCAAATTCAATTCAAAGAAAATAATTATAGGAAAGAATAATTCATAAGAAAAGAAAAAAATAAAAATTCATATTATTTTCCACGCATAAGAAATAATATTTGAGAAGTATGCACATGTAAGAAAGTAGAAATTCCAGCCTTATTTCCTTGAAGTTTCAAATACAAACTTTTGTCTTTTTCTTCCTCTGTCTCATGATTACCTCACTGTCTTTCTCAATTTGTTTTACTGAATTTTCTCCCCCCTTTTCGTCATCGACAAAAGCCTTCTTTTGTAGACCAAAGAAAAAGAATGCCCTTCACTAATTCTAAGTTTAATTTCTAAATTATAAATAAAAATGCATTCTTGTTGGAAATTAAAATCATACAATTCAACTAGTTTTTAATGCATCTTGCCTCTTTTAAATCCAAATTGTTACCTTTTACTCCTCAATATCAAAATAACTCTGAAGAATCATACTAATACCCAGTGGGGGGTTGAAAAGAAAGTTATGCCCAGTTCTAGCTGATGACCAATGGAGGCCATATAATCAGCTGCAGAATTGCCCTCCCGTAGAGTGTGTTGCTCCACGCACGAACTCAAAGTGCCTATGCCCTTTATTAATAGAAGGGTTCATATGCGATTCAAAAAATTCATAGGTTTAAATCTTACTTTCATGTACTACTGGAAAACAAGGTATATTTGATAGAAAAGTCTGTCGAATATAGAGGTTTTTTGTCGATTATGTCTTAATCGACAGACATAATCGATAGCCAAGTATATCGTATAAAATAAAAATTCATAGGTTTAAATCTTACTTTCATGTACTACTGGAAAACAAGGTATATTTGATAGAAAGTCTGTCGAATATAGAGGTTTTTTGTCGATTATGTCTTAATCGATAGACATAATCGATAGCCAAGTATATCGTATAAAATACAATTGATAATAAGTATATTCAACAGTCAACTTTTCTGTCAAATATACTAATTTAATCGGCAGATATTGGCTATCAAAGATAAACACAATTGATAGAACTTCACTGATGATAAAGATTTTTTAGTTTTTGAAGGTTATATTCGATAGCTATTAGCTATCGATTAAAGCTATATAATCGACAGCTAATAATTGTCGAATATGTGTTTTTTTTTTTTTTTTGGAAATTATATTCGACAGCCTATTTCTGGCAAATATGCTTTTTTTTCTTTTGCGATACTACATTCGACAGCATGTTGCAATTTTTTTTTTTTAATCCTTATATTTAAACAAATATACTATCTCTTTAAACTAATTGATAATTTGATTTATCTAATTATTTCTTTTTTGTTGAATTACTTTTTGGTTTGTCTTTTGAGGATTTTTTTTTATTAATTCTCTTGTAAAATTTCTGGTTTTAAAAGTATTAAGAATCAATTTTTTTTGAGCTAATAATTAATTATAAAAATTCTAGTTTAGATAAAGATATATATATGCTATTTCTTTGTAAAATATTATATTGTAATTTTTTCTTTTTACTATAGGATTGTTAAATTTTATTAATGTTATATATTTTACTTATTTAAACTCAAATACTACATAACTAAAAACTAGTTTAAGTTAATAAATATATACTAATCCTACACACCATGTATATACATATGCAGTACATATATATAAACATATATAATATAAATTTAAAATATCAATGTCTCTAAGTAGGAGATGGTAAGTGATCAGGTCTAAATCCTCCAAAAGAAGAATCAACAATCTGGGGTGGTGCAGAAGAAAGATAACCAGTCTGGGGTTGTGTAGCATTCATAGAATATTGCTAGCTAAGTAAGCACATGTGCTCTTGGAATCTCCTCTCAAAGTTGGCCTCCATCTCTGATACTCTCTGTGATACCTCTATATGAATACGGATGGCCACCTTTGTCTGAACTCGCTCAACCATTTCTTCCCGAACTTGAGTTAGGTCAGACTGCAACTGCTAGACCTGTGTCATAAGAATCTTGGTGGTAGAAGAGGAGGCCTCACTCATGTCATACCGTAGCCAAGGGATGCCATGCTTTGCTAGATCCTGTAATGTCGACATCCCTTTCATCTGACCCTTTTTAGGAGGTCCAACCACCTCTTTCCCGATAAGTAGATCCCATTCTGGCCATGAATCCTTGTTTGGCCCATGCTTCTCCACATATTTTTGGTGAGCATCGTTCTATTTCAAAAATAAAATTTTCATTAGTTAGCAATTTCAAATGATAATGGGAAATCAAATGAAAAATAATCATTTCTTGAGTACAATGGATAAAAGATTGTATCACTTTTCTTCTTATAGGGCAATATCACATTAAAAATAAATAAAATTAATATCATAAAAGAATCAGATTCTTACATATGTTTGCTTAGCTTGTGGACATATCCAAGTGGGTGGGGCATCTTCTAAAGCATCATGTCAGCGAGTCATGTGAGTCAACAAGTACGACTCTAAAGGTGTTAGCCTAACTCCTCTTTTAGCTGCCTATTAAAACATCAATAACATCAATAACATTTCCATTTTTATGGTAAAAAAAATAATTTATATATGTATATATATATAAGTATATCTTACTAACCAGTCGATCCTTGTGGATCCCAATAGAAAAGCATCCAGTTGTGTGGGTCACATGGTCACCCTTTGCTCGATTTTGCCGACCTCTTTCCTGGAGTGCAATATATTTTGGACTCTTCCATTTTGCCAACAAAATTTCAAAGGTATCCTTATGCATGAACTCGGGCAACTTCTTGTACTTGATCCACGCTTTTCAAGCTCGATGAAGCTCGTCTTGAAAACGGTTCCGACAATGTAATCTCCAAATTTTATACACACAAGTATCATCTTCTTCCCATTAATATGTCCTTTGCAATAAAAAAAATAAATTTTATTAATTTTTTTTCTTAAAAAAAGAGCAAAGTTTTGCTTAAATTATCATTTTTTTTCACTATTAA